GACCCTTGCTCCTGCCCCATTATTATTGTGGGATCCAGCCTATTTCTTGAGCATGGCCACTTTTCAATATATATTTTGTGGAGAAGAGGAAGGCAGAAGAGAGATCACTGCTAAAAAGTAGATAGTGGACATGAATCTCTTATGTAGGATTTAGCCTGGTGCCTTTTCTAAAAGAGCAGAAGAGGTTCAGATAAGAATCTTGATGGGCCAAATCCTTTTATCTATGACTATATAATTCTCTTTGAGAGAGGTAGCTAGCGGTATTAGTCTGAAGTCAGGCAGAACTGAGGGTAGAGTTGTACTTTATAGACTATTAAAATTAGAGATGTATAACATAAGCTGAGGGCTTATTTCATTAGGCATTAGAGATGTATACTGTACATCTCTGACTTAGTCTATAAGGCACGAATCTATCCTGCCTTCTGCCTATAATTTGTTTTTCTGTAGCAACTAGAAATACCCATCATGTGTTCCCACTACTGTTCTAGGCACTGTAAAGACAAAGACAAAAAAGGCAATCCTTTTGTGGTTCATTTTATAGGAAAAAAATGTGAGCTAAAAACACAAACATATGCTGTTTTTGCTTTAAAAAAATAAAGTAAAATATTATGGTATAAAGCCAAACTCTCCCCACTCCCCCCTTTTCCTTCTCTTTGTCAATGGAATCTATTCACCATTCATTTGACCTGTCTTGTTCACACAGCATCAGCTCCAGGGCTAGGGCTAGCCTAAGAAAGCTAGGAAATGTTTACTGCCTCTGTTATACAGTCACTCTTACAATCAATAGTTACTAAATATTTCTCTGCTTAAGAAAATTATCTGTTAAGCCTATATAAAAGACCTAGCATTATGATCAGAGAATAAGTTCTGTGTCATTGCCTCCCAGATCCACACCCCGAGAAAACCAACTCTAGCTGGCTATAGCTCTGACAGTCCAGTACTCAGCGAGGAGTTGGTTGGGTGCACTTATACAAGTGAACCTCTAATTGTGCATGAAACTACTGGGAGGGGATCACTCTTTGTGTTCCCTGCTATTCAAACATGTATCTTTTTGTACATTCATATATCCACCTTGCAGGTGCAGCTTTAGCAAATAATAGGGCTGTGAGAAGCTCTGGTCGCTGATGTGGTTTGGTGAAGATTCGGCCTGATTTAGCGGCTGAATCTCTGAATTTGAATCAAATCTGGACAGCCTTTAATCTTTCCGAATCAAATTGGAACCCTCCAAATCAATTTGGAGAGATTCAGAGAGATTCAATGATTCGGATATAGACACAGCTTTAAACGTTTTTTCTACATACCTCAAGGTACCAGGTGGCTCGTGAATGCTGAGATGCTAGGGTAGATGGAGAGTCCCACAGGAGTGAGGGGATCCCCAGTGTACTTGGTGGCGGACCCAGAAGTGGACCAGAAGTACTTCTAGTCCACTTCCGGGTCTGCCACGGAGCATGCAGGGACCCCCCCGCCCCACCTCGGCGACTAGTGCCTTCTGGGTCTGGGGGGGCACCTGGAGATCCCCCACAGCCGATCACTGAGCTGGGGTGGTACAAGGGGTACCATACTAAGTACTTCCGGTCCAATTCTGGGTCCATTGCCAAGCATGCAGGGGGGACCCCGCTTGTGCTCCTTTGGGATGCTCCATCTGCCCCACCATTGCAGCGTTCATGAGCCACTCCTGGTACCTCGAGATATGTATAAAAAAAATTTAAAAAGTGGTTCTATGGCCAAATCACTGATTCTCCGAATCAGCATCGAATTTTCAGATTCAGATTCGGCCGAATCAAATCAGGACAGTGATCCAAATCAATTAATCAAATCGCTGTCCCCCAATTCAGGCTGAATCCAAATTCAAATCAAATACAGCCCATTTCGCACACCCCTAGCAAATACCTATAAAGAGGCAAGGGGAGTTTTTAGGTAGTTGTTTTAGGAAACTGAAAACATAACCATGTATTTTATTTCTACATTAAAACTAGGAAGAGATTTGTTACCTGACCAGTTCAAATGCATTGTGGATCAAGTTCACTCGGTCCTGGGGACTGAAGAGTGTGTGGTTCTGATCCAGCAATGTAATGATGTTGTCCCATCCATTCCCCTCGTAGTGAACAATATAATAGCCATTCATATCTACATTGAATTTCACCCAGGCAACACCTTCCTTGAGTTTTAATGAGTCTAAATGGGGGACAGATTCACTATAAGTATCTCATAAAGAAATAAAGTGTATGCTTGTAATGAAAAAATAAATAAAGGCACAGGTCTGCATTATACTCGTCAGTAGCGCAACACAGAGAAAAGAGATTTGCTGGTGGTATGACTTTATGAATAGTTTACAGGGAGAATGTTGGCACCTTGGTGGCTTACAGAATTGGTAATGGCAGATAGGTCCTTCTCTTTTTGACACTATATTTAGCAAAAATTGTTAGAAACTTATGGCTACCCTGTGGCCTATGTGAAACTGACTGCTTGTCTATGCCCATTTCTCAAAAAGGCCAGAAATCATATAGGCATGGTACAAGCTGACATAATGGCCCTCCAAGCAACATGCACTTTGCATGTTGTCAGGCCAAAGGAAGTATGAAAAGGTTTCTATTGCCATTATCTTTGCTATTTCAGAGCTGAAATTTAGCCCTTTGCCAACACTAAATGCTCTTTTGTCCACAGGCGGAATCTGTTTCCTGGCAGTGATGATAAAAGTAACTATTTGTGCATTATTTAGAAAAAACATCTTGGAATTGAATTCAGTTCCAAAAGTCAGTTTTAGGTGCATTTACATGTCATATTCACAGTGTAGCCCATGCACCAACATCAATGCTCCCCTTATAAAAAATTGCATACAAGTCTGCAGTTTTTAGGAGAGGACCACAGATTCTCTCTGGCAAGATCTGCATCTTGTTTTCCTCAGCTAAATGCAGAGGCCTGGCAAAGAGGAAAGGAAATTAGCAGAGGTCTCTAAGGGCTCTGTCTAAATATATTGTCTAAATATTGATTTCTGTGTGCTACATTTTTAACTGATCACTAACATGCAATCAATCATTTAGTTAACACAATCAATTCATTGGCAATGAGACCAATGATAATTCTTCATTACCTGTTTTAGTTTTTAATACATGTCTGTGAACCGTGTTGGAGCTGCTAGTGATGTAGGTAAGTGGGATATGCCAAAAATACCTGAAAGAAGCAAATATATATATAACACAGCAACATTAGTTTCTTCAGAAAAAGGGGATTAGACTGAGTTGTTTTATCTTTGTGTAGTAATTAGTTTTATACTCATAATTCAAAACATGGATTTATCTAATCATCCTGCTGTAATGGTACAGAAACATCC